AACAGCAATGCCATCTTAATGCATTGCTTAATCTACTATAATCACTCCACTTTCTGAGTTTCTTCAAGACCTGAGTACTGCTGCCAAGGAAAAGTGGTATGTAGAAAGGAGAGCTGGTGAAGATCAATAAAGCAGTATTTTCTATCATCTGAAAAAAAGAAACAAGAAAAGCATCTGAACTAGGAGAACTAGCACCATCAGCCCCACGCCAGAAGAGAAAAAGTCAAGGAGTCTGGAATATAGCAGTCCAGGGAGCCCACTGACTGCAGAGACAGAGAAGAAAAGCAGAGCCAACTACTGCAAAGCCCAAAGGAAAGACGGAGACCACTGGGGAGGCAGCATTCTGCAGAAAAGTAGATCCATTAGACACAAAAAGGAAGTGACAGAAAAGTCTAATGAGTGGCTACGGGTGAAGTCTGTAAGAACACTTCAGTCTAACTCCTGATTAACATCATTTTCTTCTTTTACAGGAAGGGAAATGGGGATCAGAAACATGGAGTGATTGCTAGAGGCACAGGCAGGAAAAGCGTCATATATCTCTCAGTCCTGATCGCTAAATACTAGCTATAGATCTGGCAGATTGAGAAAGCAGTGAATCATTGTATCTTCAAGGTAAAGCAATTTTAAGACTCAATCTCATCACCTGGAAGCAAGGCAGAAACCTCTGAAAATATATCTCGTGGAACTTCTTATGATGCTGTGAAACTGAATTGATTTGAGCGTCTTTAGTTTTTCACTTACCAAAATGAACAAGGCCATATTCCAGCAGGGGCATAAAAGAAACAGCTTACAGGTAGAATAGATATACAGTGTATATATATAGTATATACTGTATATATATATAGTGTGTGTATATATATACTTCTCCGTTTAAGCCTTTGGAATGAATTACCAGCTGTTTGGCTAAGACTTTAGTAAGGCCAAAACGCTCAGCAGGTCTGAAGTGTTTCTGCTCACAAGACAGTCTCTCAGCAAGGCCTTCAGAGACCTTCCAGGACTAGTCTTAAAAAAAAATGAAAGCAAGTAGCAAACAGCAGGGATCTGACAATGAGACCTAAACCTTTCCTCTCTGCGACTAACTCCTCTTTGGCACTGGAATAAGAGGAGAGGAAACAAGTCTTCTCCTGCTTGTGGACCCCTTCCTCCTTCTATAAGGAGTTGAAAAAGATACAATTCTAAGGATTAAGAGTCATATTGTTCAAGAGAATTACAGCAAGGGAAGTTGGAATGCATCATTAATTTATGGGAAGATAGTGGTAAGAAGGAAGCCATAGGGTAAGCCTGTAAGTTCACTACCCTTATGTCATAGAAATGAGCACTTGAGTTTCCTCTGTTACATTTTCTCTCATTTGAATACAGTTCCTCTTTTGTTCCCACTCAGAGTTTCCACCTAGCTTTATTCAAACAGCTGTGTCATAAGTCCTGAGCTAGTGAGCTAGTCATAACTTTTCCTTGCTGCCTGACATTGTATAATAGGGTCACAAAGAAAGGACTTGCGAGCGTGACATTAGCAGCGAGCTGACTTTAGGAGACCCAAACAGGTGATTGTTTCTTTTCTGCTCTTCACAAAAGGCCTGATGCAAAACTCACTGGAGCTGGTGGAGAGGCTCACAGAGATGTAAGGGGCTTTGGCTCAGGCCCAAACAGACCAGCCAGCAATAATGCTGAGAATGTATCTGGAGTTGAGATAGTACAAAGGGACTAATCCTAGTCACCTTCCTTTAACAGCAGGCTCAGTGTGATTTGAATTGGCTAGCTTCTGCCGTGAATTAAGCTCAAAGCCCCAAAGGCAACTCGATTCTAGTCATCTAGCCTTGCAGCCTCCTCCAAATTTAATCCAGAGGGAAAATTGACTAATCCTATTCAGTTGCTACACTGAGCTAGTGCCATGGATTAAAAAAACTTGGGGCACAGGGAGACTGAGTAATCTGGGTCAGTTTTCCTTTGCAAGTCCTTTGCAACTTGTGGATAATAGATACTCATTCTGGCAATTGAGCAGGGCTAGGGGGGAAACCACCATTTAAAAAAAAAAAAAAAAAAAGGCAGCAGGCAATCAGTGAGGTTTTGTCAAAATTCCCAAGATGGAAAGAGGTTGGATTAGGGGAGCTAGTCTTCCTTTTTTTCTGGAGTAAGGACCATGTCCTCGACTCTTTTCCGGTTCTTCAGTGTCCACGCAGGACTGAGAGGACAATCATGGGCTGGAGCAAGGCAAGCCGCAAAAATGCTTCTGGAGAGTGGATGGCACATTAGTTGGCTTCTTGGCTGCAGTCAAGAGAACAGCACGTTGGCTGATCTCTGAGGTGAGTCATGAAATGGAAGTTGCCCCTGTAACAGCTGCTCAAGTAATGACATTAGTAGGTGCTTTCAGAGAATGCATTTTTAGGTAAGCTTCAAAGTAAATAACCACTGCTGCTGGTCATCATTTTACTGTGAACAGGGTTACCCACGACTGTGTGCTGCAACAAAAGGTTAGTTTATTGATAACCCCCTATGAAGGTTATTAACATAAAAAAAGGAAAAAATGTGTGTGGGATTTTGTAATAATCTTTGCATTTTCTCTGCCCTCTATTACAGAAGTGGAGGGCTTTCATTATTAATCTGTTGTCTCATTTGACTTTGGTGCATGTTTCCTGTGATGACAGGAATGGGCTGGAGGTTTGTTTTTAGTGAAAGTGAAGAATTTCTGTTTTTAAAAATTTGTTCCATAAGCAGTGAACTTTGTGAAGCCTGATCACCTGCTTTGTGTCCTCTTGTCTCCTGCGTTTGCTTGATATGTACCACTACATTCCCAGTTCCATCCTCCACTGCCTTCACAGGCTAGTTTGGAGAATGCTGACAGGCTGGCTGATTGCTGTTGGATATAAAGTAGCTGAATTCTGCGCCCCCCCCCCTTCAGTGAGGAGCACTAAGTGATATAGCTCTCCCTCCTTTATCTAAATGCCAGTTTTCATGAAATTTATTTGCCTTTGAGGCCTTTGTTTAATGGCAGATATGCCAAAGCTCCAAAGTTATTGGGAGGAAGGATGACCACGAGTTCAAAAGCTTTGTTCCCATAGTTGAAAGTAGAAAGGTGGGCTCTGCTAGCAAGCTGCTTCTGGAGGCCAATTCACCACGGTCTACGTACTGCAGGTAACAAAGACTGAAGAGGAGGGTTAGCAAAAAACAACAACAACAGGAAATGTGAAATTGTAGTGGAATTCCTTATTTTGTCAGAAAGGACTCTTACAATGTCATTGGTGTATCCTCCTAATATACTGTGCTATTTAACTACACAGGAGAGTGGGCAGCAAGTTTGGGGAGAAGCTTTGGGAAACCCACGTGAAATGAGGTGCTGCTGAGTGGTGCAGAAAGAGAGAGGGGAAAGAGAAAGTGGAGAGGGAAACAGCACATGCACTGTACCAAGGAAATGGAGGGAAAGGTGACAAAAGGAAACACTGTCCTCACGCGGGTGTCCCTTCCAGGGGCGCCTCTGACCCAAGGATCACTGGATTGAAATGGTGAAAGGTCAGTGTCACGACCACAATGATTAGTTACAAACCTGTGAAGCCACGGCCTCGTGGAGGAGGGGCTCAACAGCCCCAGGCAGCTGTGCTTTCAGCTGGCCCAACACCCCTTTTCTTGAGGAAAATCCCCCAAAGTGCCCCCAAAAGAAGCCACGGGCGTTCTGCATCTGACCCAACCCAACATTTAGGTTTTCATCCCCGTTCAAGTCTGTGACCTCGCAAAAGGAGCAGGTGCCCCAGAAGAGGTCCACCGCCAGGGTCAGCTTCACATCGCCCGCCCCACCAGGGCGTCCTAGGGCAGCCCCCGCAGCAGAGCTGCCCCGGCC